AGTGTCAAATTAAGACTATGGCAATCAGATGGTAAGATTTATACCTAACAATTTTCTTTGTACACCTTGATGTTTACCTTTCATATTTGATCTATTATCACATTCTTGTCCTCTCATGTTATTTATATCAAGACCAAAAGTTTCTAGAATATTTTGTAATTCCTCAAACAATCCTTGTCCTGTTGTATCATTCACTTTTAAAAATTCTACAAAAAAACTCTTCCTCTTTTATTGGACTTGTAGAAACATCTACACAAGGTAATATGAAAATCATTTGTTTTTGATAATTTGCATTAGGAGTGCGACAAAGAATCACATAAAAGTATTTTTGTTCTTTAATTTTTTGGACTATTGCACTTTTAACTTCATCACCTACCATATTACTCAAATTATTTTGGATCTTATGACAAATAATGATAATGAATTTCATTATGTTGGATATTATCCAAATACTTTTACATGACAAGATCCCGTTCAACAATCATCTTAACAAGAGAAAAAAGTTTCTATTGTTTTCTACATTAACCATTTCATTTTTTTTTCATGAAAAACTAGTTTTTTTTTGTAAGAAAAGCTAAATGTTTTCTATATAGTGACTAGGTTGTTCAATAGGGATATGATCATTTTCATCATTAAAATATTCAATTTTATATTTATTTTTACTATTTTTAACTAAAAAAATTAGACTCTTCATTATTCTTATATATTTTTTCATTATCTAAATTTTTAGCTTTGGAGTCTAAATTATCTAAATTTGCATTATTTTGAAGAGAAAATACAACATGTTTAACAAAAAAATATCAATAGCGTCTTTTTGAGATTCAATATCAATTTTAATTTGTGTTTTTTTTCTGTTTTAGAAGACCAAAAGGTTGCTTTCCAGGTAACATGTTTAAATTCAAACAATTCAACTAGTATAGAAGAAAAAAAAAACAAAATTATAATCTATGAATAAAATAAAGAGCTTTTAACAAATAAATGACAATGAGATGAAAAAAATAGTATTTAATTGCTTATTTTTAAATTTGAAATCTCAATTTTTTGTAATGGAAAAAAGATCAACAATGGTTGCACCACTCAAATGTCACAAAGAATTTCCTAACAACTAACAAATGGAGTTTTGCAAAAGCTACATATTTTCTATGTGCTTACTATGTTGTTCAATAGGGATATGATAATTTCCATCATTAAAATATTTAATTTTACCATGATAATCATATTAATTTTTACTATTTTTAACTAAAAAAGTAGACTCTTCATTTTCTCATCTATTTCTTCATTATTTAAATTTTTAGTTTTGAGGTCTAGATTATCTAAATTTGCATTATTTTAAAGATAAATTATAGGATGTTTAACAAAATATTTATCAAAACTAACAAAATATTTATCAAAAGTGCATTTGCACCTTTTTGAGATTCAATATCAATTTCAACGTGTTTTTTCTTTTCCATTTTAGATGACCCGTGTGTGTTGCATAATATCAGTATAACTTTTACCAACTATTACATTATTCAATAACTTTATATTAAATGTGAATTTTATCTTTCTAACCATTGAATTATAACTTTATATGATTATATCAAATTTTGTTAAAATTAAACAATAATTTAAAGATAATTAAAATGTTCATATTTTAGAATATTTTGAAATATATATATGTATATATATATATATATATATATATATATATATCACATTAATTTTGTTCTATAAAAATGAAGTATCAAATCATTTTAAATTAATATAAAAATTTGCATATATGATCTAGGAGTAAGAAACTTTCAATCTAATGATAAGTTTTGAAGAATTCACATTTAATTGAAAGTTATTGAGTAGTGTAAAAGTCGGTAAAAGTTACACCGATATCATTTCAACCTTTATCTATATATATGTGTGTGTATGTGTGTGTGTGTGAGGAATTAAATGAATCTAAGAGTAGCTCTTGATAAGGTTAATTAACTCAATAACTCATTGTGTATATTGATTTTCAATGATTTAACCATTAAAGTAAATTTTTTTAATACATAAATCAAAATTACAATTTTTTTGAAAAATTAAAAAATTATTTGATACTTCATTTTGTTAATTCAAATTGATGGATAATCAGAAAAATATTTTATATGTTGATTTGAATCCATATAACGGAGTATCATATAATTTTCAAATTTTTAAAAAATTTGTAGACTTGATCTATATATTAAAAACTTTTAATTTGATGGTTTAATAGTTAAAATTCAACATATATAATGAATTATTGAATGAAGTAATTTTACTAAGAATTACTCTTGGAGTCATTTGATCCTTCATCTCTCTCTCTCTCTCTCTCGCTCTATATATATATGTGTGTGTGTGGAGAGAGAGATCCACTTACTCCAAGAATAAGTCTACCTAAACTTACTCTACTCAATAACTCATGTTTTATATTAAATTTTAAAGATCCAATTGTTAAATTAAAAATTCTTAATGCACAAATTAAGTTTGTAATTTTTTTAAAAATTGAAAATTATTTGATATTCCATTTCTTTAATTCAAATTGTCAGATAATCAAATCATAAAAGTATTTTATACATTGATTTGAATTAATAAAATGTGGTATCAAATAATTTTCAAATTTTTTAAAAATTTGTAGAGTTGCTTTATGAATTGAAAACTTTTAATTCAACGGTTAGATTGTCAAAATTTGATATAGAACATGAATTATTGTGCGTGTGAGGAAGGATTCACTTACTTCAAACTTACTCTACTAAATAACTCATGTTTTACATCAATTTTTAACTATTCAACTTTTAAATTAAAAGTTCTAAATGTATAAATCAAGTATGCAAATTAAAAAAATAAAATAAAATAACATAATACTTCCTTATATAGATTTACATTAATATAATTTTTTTATGATTATCCATCAATTTGAATTAATGAAAAAAATTATCATGTGATTTTAATTTTTTAAGAAAAATTTACAAATTTGATTTATGTATTAAAACTTTTAATTTAACAGATTAATTATTAAAATTTGATGTAGAACATGAATTATTGAGTGAAGTAAGTGTATCAAGATTTACTTTTAGAATAAATAAATTCTCTCTTTATATAT